ATTTCAAAACTCCAAAACTTTTGGGTTCAAATTTAAACTATAAAACCTAAAGGGGAAAATATGAAACTTTTCATAACAACAAGGATCAAATAACAAATAATTTTAAATTAACATTTAATCACATAATTATCCATATTTGATTTATTTAATGATTTCTTGCAAAACAATTTATCAATTTACTCAAAATAATTAATCAATTATCTTATAAGGAAACAATTATCTTGTTAATTGATAATTATCTTTAATTAGATCAAGAATATAGTCATATATATCATAAAATCGGATTTATATTGATCTAACATGATAAGGTAACTATCCATATGCAAAAACAGCAAGAAATCCCGAGATAAGCATTATCTGACGAGTTGACTCGTCGAGTCAGGCATGGACTCGTCGAGTCTGCATGGACTCGGCGAGTCCAGCCTCCACAATCCAAAAAATCGAATTTTTCAGTTATACAATGCATCAATACAATTGAAACCAAGCTAGGCTCTGATACCACTGATGGGTTTTGGTCATAAGACATCCTATGTGCTCATACAAACCCTAATGCTTGGATCTAGGTTTCTCTATTGTACATGCTTTGAATCCAAGACTATAAACCCTAATTCTAGCATACAAGTAATCATATTAATATGTAATTAGGTTTAAGATCATACCTTGATTGTTATGTAGCAATAACAATCCCAATTCCACCTTGATTGACTTTGGAATGCTTAGAGTCACAAGTGTCACTCCTCTAATGGCTCAAAACACCATAAGCAAATGGAGAAGGTATAAGAGAGAGGTGAGAGGTTAGAATTCGTATCTAGGACCTCTTGGGAAGGGATACACGAATTCATGACCCTAGGGGTGTTTATATAGGTGTAGAGATAGGGTTTCAGTCATTATCCTTATCTAGTTGATTATCCATTAAGCAACCAATAAGATAATCCTTGAATCCTTATCATACTCGAATTCTAAGGCTTTCCAACCTTAAATTCGTCCACCATATAAATAAGATAATCCTTACCTTATTTTGTAACTATCACATAATTACAATTCAGCCCCTCTAGTTTAATTAATTACATTTGATCACAAAACTAATTCTTAATTAATTAATTATTGACCAATATTAATTAAACAAATATGATTTCTCCTTTAATATATTATTCTTATAACATATTAATAAATCATATTATCCTTTCTCTCTTTATTCATTTCTCCAATCAAGTTGCTTTGGTGAAGGCAACGCAAAAGGACCATGCACCATCGGATCAAGTACATACCAAAATAGTTATGGACTTAGACACTAATCCAACACTTATTTATACGGGTTTACAGGTTGTCGGGTTCGTGGGTTAGATTTGGGTTGGTGGGTCAGATTTGGGTTCTTGTGTTCGTAAGTTGGATCGTAGCAAATCAATTGCTTACTGCGTTGTGCCTTCGTCGTTCACGTTCAGGCGTCGATGTCGTTAAATAATGATTTAATTATTCACGTCATCGTTCTTTGTGAGTCCGTTCTGCCGTTCATCACAAAGGGGAGAGCAACAGAGGGCTTATTCGATTTTGTTTATGAAATATTAAGATTATTTAGGGCAAACGCCAAATGTCAAATGATCAATGGTACCGGGTATCCTATTTTAGTATAAAGTATAAACTGTGTAGTGTATAATACTAGCTTTATATATATATATATATATATATATATATATATATATATATATATATATATATATATATATATATATATATATACATACATACATATATTCAAAATTGTAAAAGGGTTGGCGGATCAACCTGTATATTTTTTGAGAAACTCATATATGACCCGTCAACCCACTTATTTATACGCGTTTCCAGGTTGGCGGGTTCGTGGGTTAGATTTGGGTTTGTGGGTGATTTAGGTTCCTATGTTTTTGTGGGTCTGATTTGGTTTCCTGTGTTCGTGGGTTATATGAATTTTTTTATTCAAAATTCTAAATGGGTTGACGGGTCAACCCATATTTTTTTTTGAGAAACTCATATATGAACTGTTTAATAAACGAGTAGATGGGTTGGCGAGTTGACGACGTGAAAAGCTCAACCCAAACCCGTTTATTTCGTGTCGTGTCGTCGGTTGTGTCGCGGGTCGTGTCAAGAATTGCCAGGGATACCTGCCATACATGTAACATCCCGATTTCCAGGTGTAATATTTAATTATTTTATATTCATAATGTCAAAGAACTCAACGAGTTGGATTCCCCAACTCGCCTAGTAGAGGAGTTAATGATCGCGTGATTTCTAGAGTTTGCTCAACGAGTTGGAAGACCCAACTTGACGAGTAGGAGCTGAGTGAGTAAACCTTAATTTTCAGGGTTTGTGTCCTATTTAAAGGACCTTAAGCCTTCATTTTCGCCACCCTTGTCACCCTGATACCCTAGGAGAAACCCTAATCGTGTGTATTTGCTTGTGTAAGAGAGAAGCTAACTTTAGGTATTCTAGTGCATATTTGGAAGAAGATTGAAGAGCATCAAGCCTTGGAACGAGAAGATGCTTTTAGATCAAGTGTTTTTCTGTGCTAGCTTCAATTTGGAGGTAAAAAGCTACCTCCTTGAGCATTTCTTTTAATAGATCTCCTTCTAGGGAGTTTTAGGGCTTTTCCCCTCTTATCTTGTGGATCTTGAGTTGCTGGAGCTTGTCATGGAGTTGAGACTCCAGATCTGGACAAAAGGAGGTCCCATAAGCCCAAAGATCCAAGCTTTATCAAGCTTTGGGAAAGTCTCCATGCATGAAACCCTTTATGGAGCTTGTTTTGGCATTTTGAGCCCTAGATACCATGCATGAACGTAAAGCTTGTAGCTTTACGTGACAAGTGTGCCTTAGAAGGTTAGATCCAGAGTATGAGACATCATTTCCACTTAAAAACATCTGAATGAGAAAATGGACTGAAAGGGCTCGACGAGTCGGTGAGCTGACTCGACGAGTTGGTTAGGGTTTTCCCTGATGGGTCTGGACACGTTGTAACTCGCCAAGTTGATGAGACAACTCGACGAGTTAAGTTGGATTTTCTTTATACTTCTGAGAAAAACGGAGGAACTTGACGAGTCGTGTGGATGCACTGGATGAGTTTAGTCAACATAGACTGCTGACTTGAGCATTGACTTTCGTTGGCTCTTAGGGTTTGTTCAACTGTGGACTTTAGAGACCATGGAGGGGTAAAATGGTATTTTCATCCTTTTTGAGATTTAATAGAAGAGTTAGCTTAGCATCTTAGAGTAGTTATTACAAATTGCTTATTAGAGATAATTACATTATGTAGGCGGAGTCTAGATTGTTCGTGGGGTGCTAGATCTACTTGCTTACTTACGAGGTGAGTCTTATCACTATACTTACCTAATTGGTAACACCAAGTGACTAGAGGGTCTTATTTGAGTTATCGACCGGAGGGTCATATGTGCTTATATTGAGTTATGTGATATCATACATTTTATCTTTGTGATATATGTTATATTGTTATGTGCTTTACTGAGTTAGGACCTGAGGGTCCAAACCAAGTTGTGAGATCGGAGGGTCTTCATTGAGATATAGGACTGAAGGGTGAGATCGGGGGGTCTTTAATGAGACACATGACCAGATGGTCCACACCGAGACGCATGAGACCGGAGGGTCCATGCCGAGTTATAGCAATGAGAAGCTTATTATTTATGTTTGTGGTATTTTGGGGAACATGCTGAGTTATAACAATGAGAAGCTTATTATTTGTGTATGTGGTATTTTGGGGAACTAATTAAGCTTTGTGCTTACCGTGTTGTGTGATATGTGTTTCAGGTACTTCTCAGGATCGTGGGAAGGCGTCGATTTGTTTGTACACACCTATTCGAGACTATGGTTGAGGATTCTGAGTACTATCACTTATTTTGTGGATTTTTGTTTGACATTTGAGACAATTGTGGTTTTTGGAAAAATGTGACATGAGTTTTTATGTGTTTTAAAAATGAAAATTTTCATTGAAAGTTTACGGTGTTACAATACAACCCTTAGTTGATAAGTCTCAAACTTATAACCATATTTTATATATTTTTATTATTCGTAAATACATGAAAGCGTGTACTTTTGCACCACACTTTTAATTTATAAGTATAAAAGATATAAATATTAAAATATGGTTATAAGGTTGAGACGAAATAGATATATTAAAATATGGTTATAAGTTTGAGAATTATACTATAAAGAAATAGATAATATGATTTTACCACACTTTTTAAGTGTGTAATTCATTTCACACATATTTAATTATCTAATTTTACCACTTAAAAGTATGGCGATTTAGATTCAAGTACTATAGTCAAACCATATTTTCCATATAAAAACAAATCATGTATACAGAATTCTATACACTTAAAAAAAAAAAAAAAAAAACTAAAGCTTTGAAAACAACTTTTAAACACTTGTGGATATCATTTCTAAAAACTAAAAAGAACTATTGTAATCGCGAAAATGCAGTAAACGAAGAAGAAAGAAAGCCACAACTTTGTAACGTCTTATCTAGCTTTTGTTATAAAAAAAATAATTAACTACAATGTTTATTTTTATACAATAAATGAAGTATTTGGTAGGTGAGAGACTGAGAGCAGTAAAGGTTAATTTAATAAATATTTATATTTTTTTTATATATACAATAATTGTTATACGAGGAATTAAACATACGTAATAACTAATATTTTGGACTATATATATACATCCCAAAAGATCTTTAGGCCATCAATACTAACTTGCTAATTCCTCTGCAATGATTTAACCACACATTGTCACATCCAAAGACTCCCATGTTAAACAAGACACGTTCATTTTTCATAAACCATACAAAACTCACACTCTGTGTCCTCATGCATTACCACATATATGACACACCACCCACCACGTACCACCCTCCATATTGACCCCTTCCCATATATATCTAACCCTCTTCTCTTCTCTTCTTCTCCATATAACAAGTCACGAAAGATCGTACACTCAGATTCATCTGCATTTTCTCCATGAGAAACCACCAAGAACACCAACAGGATCAAGAAGTACTCATGGTTTCAATGGAATATTCCCAGGAAAACCCTAATCTTGAAACCACCCACAACCACCGCCACCACCATGTCATCGTTCCGGTAGATTCCCAAAAAAAGTCTCATCTTGAAACCACCCACAACCACCACCATGTCATGGACGTTCCAATGGATTCCCAGAAAAACCCTAATCTGGAAAGCACCCGCCACCATGGCCCACCATCACCATCGTCTTCTTCACAAGATTTCAAGAGAACCCATCATCAGCTTATTATGAGTCATGTTGTAAAGAAGACTGATCATGTAGATCAAGGGTGCATGGTCAGCAAGAATGCTCCTCAAGGGATCACAAAACCTTATGTTTCTTGTTCTTCGTTGGCGGCCGGAGGAGACATGACTACACCTGCACCACCACCACCACAACCACAAGAGAGGTTGGCCGTGGTGGAGGAGAGTGGAAGAGAGAAGCTAAAGAGGCACCGGGTTGAGATGGCGGGTCGGGTTTGGATCCCAGACATATGGGGACACGAAGATCTGCTCAAAGACTGGATAGATTGCACTGTGTTTGATTCTTCTTTGGGGAACAACAACATAATGTTGGCACGAGCAGCTTTGGTTAAGGAGAGAAGATCAACCTTAAGAATAGATAACCGATGCTGATCGATTAATTACCAAATTATTTTTTCAAGTATTTTTCCTAATTTTATATATACAAGATTAATCTAGATTTTTAATTTAGTTATATATATATATATATATATATATATATATATATATATATATATATATATATATATATATATATAAGTTGGGTTTATTTACATGGTCGAACCAGCTTCTTCGGTATGATCTTGAGATTCCCGAGTTTCATTCATATCCTTGTGTATTAGTTCTTTAATCTTTAGTGAATTGTGGAAGGTACGTCATTGGATGAATGATAAGACATTCGACCCTTCACTTCAGTTGTAATTTTTTGATTTCTTTTTGATGAAATAATTAAACAGCCAGTATTTATGTATTTCTTGATCCATTTAGGGTTTGATGATTTTATATGTCGTTTTGCGTGTCTTTCCAGGAAAAGTAATATATTGAAGCATATATACAATGTAGAATTGGATTTACGCTAATTATTTACATGCATTGTTATTCCAAAGTCATAAATTAAAGTGTTTTATCAATTATGTCAAAATAATCATTCGATACAACATCTTTTTTCTTTAGGTTCGGTTTCGGGGATGCTTCAAACATCAAATCATGCACGTTTAATTGAAGGTTTCACGTGGATCAAGCAACATGAATAGTCAAAATTAATACATCTTCCATACATTGATATTGTTTCTTGTGGGATTTTTGAAACATGCGTATAATATATATAGATCGATGTAACTTTTTGGACCATTTTAGTACGAAGGATCTACGGGTCAGTATCCTGTTTGCCTAATATACCAGGAAGCTGCCAAATATATAGATCGATGTCAATAATAAATTAATATCCAAGATTTCATCATTAAATCATGTGATTTTCCGAGTCTTTTACTGGTCATAACCGTTGATTAGCTATAGACACGATGACCAAAAGCAATACGATTGAGTGGAGTTGATTTATCGTTTTATTCCTATATATTGTAACTTAATAATTAAATATCTTTTTCTGTAACAATTTTTATTTTGCATATTTTATATTTTATTTCTCTATAGTGTGTAGGGGTTGTGATTTCTCCTCATACAATTGATAACTAATGTACTTTTCGTCTATCATGTAACAATTTAAAGAAGGGTTATAAGGGTTGAGGGAATGGCTAGGGTTTGAACCGTGGCTTGCTACATGGCCGTGGTGAACACCGCCTATCATGTGTGGCTTGTCCCGAGCTTGGCTACCACATGCCACTATTAGTGTATATATTGTGTTATGTATTTTGCTTGTATACTTAACCCATTGTATTTGTATATATTCTGATTTAAGAAATCATAATCATTCTTGGGAAAAAAATATCAAACATGGTATCAAAGCTTTGATATTCTTTTATTATTTCTTTCCTTTATCTTCTCCCTTATTCCCTCTTTAAAACCGACGACTCTTAACCCTAGAATGCCGACCTCCACCTTCCTCCATCATTTCTATTCTTCTTATCTTCCTAATTGTTCAAAATGAGCAATCAAAAACCCTACGATATCACGAACACTACGGCTTACGTTCTGCTTATCATTGATCTTAATGAACTAACCTACGATTCTTAACGCGAGTTATTTCAAACTCATTATCATGGTTTTGGAGTATTAGGGCATCTCACTGGCGTTTTCAAACCAAAAGACGACAATGATGAAGAATGGCACAATCTTGACGCCATTGTCAAGATGTGGATTTATGACACTATGTCTCAACCTCTCATGATGAATATGATTCTCGAACCCGATACCACCGCTCCTTCCGTTGGGTTAGTCTCGAATATTATGCACCATTGAACTTGATAACGAACTTCGAAGTATGTCTATTGGGTATCTCATAATCTCTCAATATTGTCAACGCATCAAGACTATCTCGAATCTCTTACCCAATCTTGACTCACTCGTATCGGAGAAGACTCTCGTTACTTATCTCATCTATGGCCTTTCACAAAAATATGAAAACACTATCCTATGTTATAGATATCCTTTACCTATATTTCTTACAGCTAGATCCATGCTAACTGTTGGGAAGTTTCATATCAACTAGAATCGATCATCTTAACCCACTCATTTAGACCGTTCTTTAGCTCCAATAGTAGATTCACCTCGCGATTTTGGCAGTCCTTGTAGAAATCTCTGGGAACTAGGCTAGACATGAGTACGGCCTACCATCAAAAAACTGACGGGCAGAGCGAGCGAACCATACAGATATTAGAAGACATGCTGAGAGCCTATGTGATAGACTCTGGTAAAGCATGGGATACCCATTTACTGCTTATTGAGTTCTCCTACAATAACAGCTATCACACTAGCATCAAGGTTTCCCCATTCGAAGCTCTTGATGGTCGCAAGTGCTGATCACCCCTGTGTTGGGCAGAAGTGGGGGACACTCTGCTAGCTAAAGGGCAAGTCCCTGATAGCACCCTCACTGGTCCTAAAATAATAAGGGAGACCACATAAAAGATTGTTCAAATTCGGGAAAGACTGAAGGCGTCCCGAGATTGGCAAAAGAGTTACGCGGATAAACGAAGCAAACCCTTAGAATTTCAGGTTGGAGATCGGGTACTACTGAAAGTTTCCCCTTGGAAAGGAATGATACGTTTCGGTAAACGAGGGAAACTAAACCCGAGGTACATTAGACCGTTTGAAATCCTTGCCAGGATTGGTCTAGTGGCGTAAAAACTCCGACTACCACAAGAACTTAATAACGTACACCCTACCTTCCACGTATCAAACTTGAAAAAGTGCTTCTCCGCCGAGACTCTTGTGATACCCCTCGACGAAATTGAAGTAAATGAGAGTCTCCATTTCGTGGAAGAACCAGTTGAGATTATGGATCGGGAGGTCAAAAGAACATAACAAAGTGATATTCCCATAGTGAAGGTTCGTTGGAACGCGAAACGAGGACCCAAGTTCACCCGGGAACGCGAAGATCAAATGAAAAAAAAATACCCTCATCTCTTCCCAAACTCTTGAAGTCCCAACCAAAACGTAAATTTCGGGACGAAATTCCCTCTAACGAGGGGATGATGTGGCAATAGTCAATTTCGGGTCAAGTCAAAGTCAAAAAAAGTCAACAAGTCAAACCGGACGACTCAATTAGCCCTTGTATATTACGGTTTACATTGTGTAATTACTAATGCGAAACCGGACACTCAAAAATGTCACAAACGAAACCTCTCTCAATCGTATTCACTCTATCTCTCTCTATTTTAAATCTCTCCCAAATCTCTCTCAAGAGTTCCCATAAATTTTTATAATCACTCGGGTCATCCCGACCCTTAACCGGGTCAAAAACGGCTTGAAACGGGGTAAAAATGAGTAAAATAGTCTTAAGGGGCCGAAACTCCTCTTAGGAGCCGAAATCCTCTTTGGAGTCGAGACCCTCCTAAGAGCCGAACCCTAGGAGAACCGAAACCTATGGAACCAAGAAGCAGCCGGAACCGAAACCTCAGCAGCCGGGAACCGAGACCTTGAGAACCAAAACCCTGAAGACCGAAACCCCGATGACCGAAACTTGCCTGATGACCGCACCTCACTTTCGCCCCTCCTCCTAGTTTCGCTTCCTTCTTTCCCTTCTCTCGATCCCTATGAACAACCGAGACCCACCTTCGGTTCTAAGCTCCTAAGGAGCCGAACCCTAGCAACCTCGGCCAGAATTTTGGAAATTTACAACTTTTGCCCGGTTTTCAATATTTTTAGCATTTTAAGCCCGTTTTTCATCATTTTAAAGCGGGATTTTCACCCAAAACTTTATTTTAACATATTAAGACCCATATGTCTTAATTAATCACGTTTTTAATGCAAATATTATCCAAGATTTAGTGGTTGGAGTAATAAAGGTGGAGTGTTGACTTTCCTTTAACTTATGATACAAGCAACCACCACACCCACTCCATGACTAACCCACACAACTCCCCACCATACCTTGTGACATACTTGTACTTTTCCCTCTCTCACAAGCTATTTCCACATTCTTAGAGCTGGACACTCATCCTCTCTCCTCATTCTCACTCACTTGTTCTCATTTCACGAAAGATCAAACTCAACTTTTCTCTCTAACTTTCTCCATCAATTTCGAGATTCCAAGGCTGATCATCAAGCTTTCTTACACTCTTGGTAGGTATAAATCATCCTCCTTGTGATAATTACACTCCATTCTACTCGAATCATAGATTTCTTACACAAATTCCATCACTTTGGTGTTAGATTCTCAAAAATCTTCTAGGCATCTTCAAGTGTTCTTGAGTTGAACACTTCTCATCTCCAACACTCAACTACTGAAACCATTTAAGGTGAGTTCATACCCCTACATTTTCATGTTTTCTAAGTTTTAAAGGGGGAATACAAGTTAAATCACCAAGAACACAACTAAATGTTTCTAACAGCTTACATCAGAAAAGTTGGACTCCATTCACAGACTTTTTTGGTCAACTTTTATTTTTCAAAAATGTATGAGGTGAAAGTAGTTCAAGTTTTTAGCTTTAAAATGGCTACTTTCACATTTCCATACGATTTTTCTACAATTTATGGTGATTTTTACAAAACTGTCTATCATTTCAAGAACCAATCTGAACTAGTATGTGTTTATGGATGTTTTCACCTAAGTTGGAGGTCACTAAAAATTATAAGAAAAATTATTAACAAACTAGTCTCATTTTGCTAACTCCCAGAATTTATGGATTCCGATTTAGACCTGTTATGAATTTTCTATAAGTTTTCTAAAAACAGTAACGGAAAATGTTAATAACAGAAAAATGCTAACAACTTCATTTCACCTTGTAACATGTTGAGCAAAGTGTATATCTTTATGTGAATGTATGTTGTTGCAAATAAATGACATTTTGTCTTAGTATATAGACATGCATCAGTTAATAAATGGATTTTGATATATATATATATATATATATATATATATATATATATATATATATATATATATATATATATATATGTGTGTGTGTGTGTGGAATATAAAGGATAACAAAATTGTT